TGACTTACGTAAAGCTTTTGATACAGTTGACCATGACTTGCTCCACGTAAAATTGTCACACTATGGTATAAGAGGGCACTCCCTCAACTACCTCAAGTCATACCTCAGCAACAGAAGCCAATATGTGTACGCAAATGGGGCAACTCTTCTGCGCAACCAATTACAGTTGGTGTCCCACAGGGAAGTGTCCTTGGCCCTCTTCTCTTTCTCCTATACATAAATGACCTTCCAAATGCTTCGCAATTACTCAAACCCACACTATTGCAGATGACACTACATACGTCTTCTCTCACCTGAGCCCAGTCACGCTAGCCAATACTGTAAATACCGAATTACAGAAAATATCTACCTGGATGAGGACTAACAAACTTACACTAAACATTGACAAAACCTACTTCATTCAGTTTGGTAACAGAGCTACAGATGTCCCTCTTAACATAATGATAAATGGATCACCTATCACAAGCTAACAGAGGGAAAATTCTTAGGAATCCACCTTGATAATAGACTCAAATTTCATACACATATACAACAAATTTCTAAGAAAATTTCCAAGACTGTAGGCATACTATCGAAGATACGGTACTATGTTCCACAGTCAGCCCTCCTGGCCCTATATCACTCTCTTATTTACCCCTATCTCACCTTTTGGAATTTGTGCATGGGGCTCAACAAAAATAACCATCTCAGACCACTAATTACCCAACAAAAGGCTGCAGTTAGAATGATAACAAATTCTCACTACAGGCAGCACACTCCACCAATATTCAATACACTAAACCTACTCACCATACAAAACATCCATACTTATTACTGCACCTATTACATACATAGAACACTTAACTCTGATATTAACCCTCCCCTCAAACATCTCCTTGCCAACCTCAACAGAACACATGACCATAACACAAGGCACAGATCACTCTTTTATGTTCCTCGTGTCCATCTCACACTATGCAAAAACTCAATGCACATAAAAGGCCCTAAAATCTGGAATTCATTACCTGTAAATATAAAAAGAAACACTACCTGTTTTTTAAATTCAAGTCTCTTCTCAAAGATCACTTACTCACCCAAAACCAAAAAAATACTGAATAACTGAACCTTATAAATTGTATATCTTAAATGTTTCTCACAATTATATCACATAAATGTTAAACCTAAAACCCAATCTAACTTTATTATTTTTTAAATACACTACCTAACAGAATACTCCATACGACTGAATGTACAACAATGCATACAACCATATGACCTGTCTTTGTAATGCTCATTTGTGCTTTATAGTTATCTGTTTACAATAATGTATTATCACTGATTTCATCATTGCTTAGTTAATTTTAAGCCAGCCCGTAATGCTATGCATAGTATAAGTGGCTTTGGCATGCTGCTCTTATCTGTATTTTTTTGTACCTCTGTATGTATGCTCAAATTGTTAATAAATAAATAAATAAATAAATAAATAAATAGTAGTTGGGTGAACATGCCAAGAGCCCATTGTATGCAGAGCATTATGGGCAGGCTTAAAATTAACTTAAAATAAACAAGCAATGAAAGGTTCAGTTTTAAAAATTACAGTAAACAATTTAAAATATGAAGTACAATTGAGTATTTGAAACATTGAAATTTGAACATATTGATACTGAAGCATTGTAGTTGTACAAATTTGTCACATTACAGTGTTCTTACAATAAATACTACTCATCTCACCCTAGATTAAGACTACAAATATTTTGAGGTAAGTAATGAGTGTACTATATGTGTATTCTACTTTTTTATTGTTTTTTAATGCCTAGTTCTATTGCTAACCCCAATGGAAATGAGTCACACTGTCTGACTTTTTTGGGTCATCCTAGGTTCTCTACACACATGCTGCTATGTATGATAATCTATGTAACCGTATTTGTGTATACCTGAATAAACTTACTTGCTTACTAACTTAATATATGTTAGTGTAAACTTGTTATCTAGTATTTATATGCATTTATAGGTGAAAAAAAAGTGTTCCACTTTATGGCGATTTCCCTTTACGGCAGTAGCCTGGAACCTAACCTGCCGTATAAGTGGGGCCCTACTGTACCAGCTACTTATACATGCTTAATGAGTGAGACTTGAATAAGCTTATTAAGCATGTTTTAAAATGTGTATAGCTTCTTTCCAGTCAGAGAACCTTCTAGGTTTCCCAGCCTTTCAAATAGTTTATGACAGTGCTACAGTGATCTTTGACTCTAAGATCACCTTGCTATGTAACTCAACTAACATCGTAATAATTTGATATGCACCTTATCTTAGTCCCGTTATGGATTTTAAACCAAATATGGATTGTAGTTAATCCTGTCTGGATGTAAAAGATCAGGAAGTATTTGATGTGGCAGATAGTGAAATTAGCATCTGTTGAACAAGCTGATGAGAGAAAACTTTATTCCAAGAGTATTGCTCCACCTTTTGCTACAGTGTCAACTGCCACTGCCTACAAGTTTTCTGTTGTATTTGCATATAAGTGTATATAGAAAGACCCTGGTTATGCAGAGCATTTTGGGCAACCTTAGGTTATTCTTGTTCCCCAGGATGCAACCCACAACAGTCATACCATCTTACTCATATTGTACATCCAATTTTTAATTGTAACTCAAAACAGAATTCCTCTCTGAGGGTAAATTGTAACTCCAGATAATCTTAATTCAAGGGACCACTGTAATTTGCATTTTAGCTGTGCACCAACCTTCAAAATGGTACAGTAATGAAACAAACATCCAACTGCCAGCTTCAGTTTTACCCAGAGTATACCTGGAGAGAGTTCCAGGGGTCAACACCCCCACGGCCCAGTCTGTGACTAGGCCTCATGGTAGATCAGGGCCTGATCAACCATGCTGTTACTGCTGGCCGCATGTAATCCATCATACGAACCATAGCCCGGCTGATCAGTTACTGACTTTAGAACACTGCAGAAGGTCTTCTGGCCCATACAAGGCAGGTCCTTATCAAAACCACCACTACCCAAAGCTACCCAAGAATTTACTTCCGTACCCACAACACCAATCAAACCCAGACTCTTCCACTCATATGTTTGTTCAGTCTCATTTTAAAGCCATCCAAGGTCCTAGCCTCTATCACCCTACTCAGGAGAGTGTTCCATGCATCCACAACTCTGTTCACAAACCAGTACTTACCTACATCCTTTCTAAATCTAAATTTATCCAACTTAAATCTGTTATTTCTGGTTCTTACCTGGTTTGACATCCTCAGTACCATTGTTTATGCTCATCATCCATTTATACACTTCGATGATATCTCCCCTCATTCTACATCTCTCCAGAGAGTGAAGATTCAAGGCTCTAAACATATCTTCATAAGGGAGATTCCTTATACAGTAAATAATTTTAGCCAATTTTCTCTGTATGTTCTCCTATAAATCTACATCCATCCTGTAGTAAGGGGACCAAAACTGAGCAGCATGATCCATATGAGGCCTCACTTGTGATGTATAGAGCTATAAAATAACTTTTAAACTTCTGTTACTTATACTTTTTGAAATTAATCCCAGTAATCTGTTAGCCTTATTGTGCACACTTAGGCACTATTGTCTTGGCTTTAGATTTCTGCTTACCATGACTCCCAAATCTTTTTCACATTCTGTATGATCACACTCTACTTTAACTAGTTTATAACTTCGAGGGTTATTTTCATTACCAAGGACTAGGACTTTACACTTGTCCACATTGAACTTCATCTGCCACTTTTCAGACCAAAACGTTAATTTGTTCAAATCCTCCTGGAGTTCACTGGTATCCTCCTCAGAATGAATCATACGGCTTATTTTTGTTATTTTATTATTTATTATCACACCGGCCGATTCCCACCAAGGCAGGGTGGCCCGAAAAAGAAAAACTTTCACCATCATTCACTCCATCACTGTCTTGCCAGAAGGGTGCTTTACACTACAGTTTTTAAACTGCAACATTAACACCAAATATACTTATGTCACTTGTAATTCCTTCATCAAGGTAATTAATGTAAATTATGAACAACAATGGGCCTAAAACCGATCCTTATGGAACACCACTAGTGACTAATCCCCATTCAGATTTGACCCCATTAATGGAAACTCTACTTTCTATTAGTAAGCCATGCCTCTATCCATGCTAGAACTTTACCTCCTATACCATGAGCTGCTACTTTTTTTAAGTCATTTGTGAGGTACTCTATCAAAGGGTTTACTGAAATCCAAATAAACAATAGCATATTCTTTATCACTGTCTACTGCCTCAAATGTTTTATTGAAGAACGTCAGTAAATTTGTCAGGCAGGAACGACCTCTCGTGAACCCATTAGTTATTGTTTTAATATTTTTCAGTCATGCATATACATTACTGGATTTTACAAATTATCGTTGATTATTTAAATAGTAATTTTGAAGTATTTCTTCATCTCTTATAATATAAATTTGACATTTTTAGTAAATTTAGTAAATGCTGCTGCTGTTGCTGCCACTGCCACCGCCACCCCCCCAACCCCCACCACAACAACAACAACACTGTTCCTCTCGTTATTCTACTTCCATCCATACCCCCTATTGTATATATCTTCTAGCTCCCTCCCCTTCTTGCTTCTGTTTGGCTAGTTAATGGTCCAAGTCACAAGTTTCAGTATCCTGTGTGTGGGTTATTTATGTAAACTGGCATTAAAATTTCTTTAGGTTGTATGACTGTCATTCCTTGATTATTTTGTTAAATCACAGTTATTCATGATAGCTATATGCATATGTACTTATAGCCTAGCTCTGGGGGTTCTATGATAAATATTTATTGTTTTTGCATCATTTATTGAGAATAGTTGTTATTAGAGTCATCTTGGGTTTGTGTTGAAGAAGCAGGATGCTGAGAAGGCTGGACTCAAGATTACTAGAAGGGAGGAGGCGTACAGTATGGAAAAGCAATAGGGCTTCAATAATCTTCAGGAGGAAATATGATACACAGTGAAAATAGACAGATTAATGGTAGCTTTTCTTTCAGCCTAGTGTGTATGACCTTCCTGGAGCTTTATCAACACTGTTGTGCTATCGTGACCTTGGAGTAACACAAGGTCGAGAGGTGCTCAGAGCTAGTGCCCGCATTTTCCTAAATGAACGTAACAGCCCCCCACTGCTTTTGCATCCTGAGGGTGCAACCACCAGTGGAAATTTGGCATTAATGAAGTAAGTATGAATTTTAAATAGGTTTTTGTACATTTTTGCACAGAATGATTTTTGCACCTGAAGGTTTCACCTAAAGAATGAATTTTAGACTTGGAATTTGATAATCAATAGAAAATCTTAAATTGTTTGATCATAACTTTCAAGATTATGCCATTTAAATTAAAGTTTTCATTTTCATTAGAAGTGCACTTATTTTCATTAAGGTGCACAGGAGCAGAATTAATTTCCATGGGTGGAGCATATTTCCATTAAGAAGCACTATGGCAGGTAGGCCTGAGACCTCCCCAGTAGGCATTAAGCAGCTCTATTGTCTAGCACTGTGGGGAAGGGTGTGAGGGAGGCTAATGGGATGTATACCAACTGGCCTCCCATGTGGATCAGTGTTTCTGGGTCTGTACTGTACAATTATAGCTCCATGTACATTACTCACTTTTTTGTTTTCATCACCCCACCATGTGAATATTAAAATGGTATAAAATACCGACAGGTTGTTAGGTAAGACACACATGCAACAGTTAGGTATCTTTATTTCGAAACGTTTCACCTACACAGTAGGCTTCTTCAGTCAAGTACAGAAAAGTTGGTAAAAGCAGAAGAGATGTGAAGACAGTGTAATCAATCCATCACGCTTGAAGATTAGTTTTTAGGTGGTCAGTCCCTCAGCCTGGAGAAGAGTATTTCTTCCATAGTCTGACACAATGTGAAGTTGAAGTGATAGTATGGAGCCTTATATACTGTCAAGAGGTGAGATGTAGGCCACTAGTAGAAGCAAGAATGTAATCGTTGAGAGGTCACGCCCCTCTCATATCCAGCCATTCTCACCACTAGAAGTTGTTCGGGGTGTTTTCTGTTCTGTACCAAGATACGTGACCTCTCAGTGATTACATTCTTGCTTCTACTAGTGGCCTACATCTCACCTCCTGACAGTATATAAGGCTCCATACTATCATTTCAACTTTGCATTGTTTCAGACTATGGAACAAATACTCATCTCCAGGCTGAGGGACTGACCACCTAAAAACTAATCTTCAAGGGTGCTGGACTAATCACATCATCTTCACATCTCTTCTGCTTCTGCCAACTTTTCTGTACTCGACTGAAGAAGCCTACTGTGTAGGTGAAACACTGCAAAACCAAGATACCTAACTGTTGCATGTGTGTCTTACCTAACACCCCATCACATCTCCGAATATTTATCAGGGCTTCCAAACAAAGTATAGGTGACCCTGGTGAAGCAAGAAAGAAAACTAAGTATGAAGTCATGCTTATTACAAAACACTGGAAGTAATTGAGGTGCTAAGAGTTGGTTTGTGCATTATGGAGACATCACATGTGTTTGGTGTTAGAGAATCAACAATTTAGTTTAATTTGAGATGAGGCAAAGATAAAAGCTTGTGTATTGAGTAATCCTCAGTGTGACACAGTGAAAAAGATTGAGGAATAGGTTCACAGTCGTCCTCTTTACTCACACTTCAACATGTTAAACTTCCCAAACTCAACTTGAAAGTAAGTAGTAAATAATGTTTTGTATTAACATAACCATATTTTAGCTAGTGTACTTTCTGTTAATTGTGTGAACCTCACTGTGGTTCATGTATTTAACAGAGCGTCATCATCCGCACTGATAGCTAAGAAAAAGCTAATAATTTTATAGCATTAAAAAAAATTGTTATAGCCCTTGTACTAGTCTGAAGAATGCAACCCTATTTTTCCCAGACATTTTTCAAGTCTTGGAAATCATTAGTAGTGCACTTCTCAGCAGTCATTAGTAGTGCACTTCTCAGGATTGTAACCCACATGAATTATGATCCTCCACTGAACTATGTGTTATGCACCAGGTCTTCATGGAATAAATCTGGCACCTCTTAAGAGTGTATATCTTTGAATGGAAGAGAGAGAGAGTGAGAATGGGAGAGAACAGTAGAGAGAGAATGAGAGAGAATAGGAGAGAGAGAGAATGGGAGAGGGAGAGGGGGGCATAGGGATCTGTTGAGCTGCTTACAGTTCATCATAGATAACATAGCCTGATAAATCAGGAAATGACTTTAGGGGTCAACTAAGTTGTGTTTGAAAAGCAACTAGGAAGGGTCTGTTAACCCCTTAACTGTCCAAATTTAGATGTACATTGTTACCACTAGCGCTCTAAACGTAGATCAGTGTTTTATTTTCCCTGCCTCCAAATTTGGCACGATTGGCCTGAGATGCCTGATCAGTATAGAATGGATCTTAACACTTGGTGTGTGCAGTATTCAAAAAATCTAGGACCACTTAGTACCTTGTGGGAGCACCAGTTCAATCGAGCGCCAGCGAGAACAAACAGCGTGGCAGACTCCAGGGATTCACTGACGTCATGTCGTATTAACACTACCTTATTAAGAGGAAAGTGATGCTGACCCTGAGTTTAGTGGCTTTGAGATGGATGTGGCCACAAGTGGTTGAGGAAATATCAAAAACCTTGATAATAACCCATGTGCAACATTCTTTCAATTTTGATACCACTGGTAGTGTCAACCTGCCAAAATGTCCTATACCTTATGCCCTAAGTAATGAGAAACAATTCTGGAACATGTGTAATATGTGTTCAGCAAGCTGGGTGGCCGGCTGGCTGGCTGGGTGGATGGCCGATTGACTTTGGCTGTCTCTATCTCTGTCTGTCTGTATCTGTCTCACAGGTACACATAAATACAATTATACATAGTGTAAATTACCTAGGATAACCCAAAATATTCCAGACAAAGTGCTTTACTGTGCTTGTAGAGATAAGGCATAATAAGCATAACTGGCAAGTAATACGCATTTTCACTTGTTCGGGAATCATATGTGACGACTCTGCATCGTGTATAATACCTGATGGTTGATGAGTGGCTCTCTCTCTCAGGCAGAGACAGGAAAGAAACAGACAGAAATACAGATAAGCAGAGACAGAGATAAACAGGGACAGAGCTAGATAGACAGACAGACAGACATGTTTATATGTATCAGTGAAAACAAACAAAGCCAAGGCAATGCACGATCATCAAGTGTCACTTACACCATGCTTCAAGGAGTTTCATATACATGTATACTCCAGCATGTCTAAAACATTGCTGGGACCTATAAATACTTTGTATATGTTTTTAGACAGTAGTATGTGACCAAGGCAGGTGGAAATGTTCACCTGTCAGTGTGTTTGTGACTGAGTACTATTTCAGTACATAATATTAGTGTCAGAGCAAACATTGGCTATGAAATCACAAGTACTACTACAAATTGTAATTATCAAAACATAAAAATTATATAAATTAAATAAAAAAATGAGAAAAAAGGTATATAGGCAGTACTTACTTCTGCAAGCAGCAGGACTCCATGTTGCCATCAGGTGAGCATCCAGCACCCACTTTGTGGTCTTACATCTCAGTAAGTACTGACCCAATTTTTTTTTTTTTTTGTCTTATTACAGGTCGGCCATCACAAATCCAGCAATCAGTTATCCAGTTCCATCAGTAATCCAGCACTAATTTTGGCTAGCATAATTTCAAATTTCATCATTATACTGACTCAAATCATTATACTGACTCAAATTTCATCATTATACTGACTCAGAAATTGTGCAGATGACTGTAAATCCATAGCAGCAAGCCAGTGGAGGAGAAAGCAGTGATGAAAATGAGGAAGATGTAGCAGACAGAGTCTATTGATTGGTTGATTAAGGGTATTGTAACCTAACCATTCTGTAATCTGGCAAACTCACTAATCCGGCACACTACAGGTCCCAGTGATGCCAGATTAGTGATGGCCGACCTGTATACATAGAAAATTGCCCTCTTTAATTAATTTTTTTTTTTTTTTTTTAAATATTCGGAGCCTTGGGCGAGAGAATGCAGATCTATGTTTGGACAGTTTAGGGGTTAAAAATTCTTCATATACAGTGGACCCTCGCCTAATGAACGCATCACATAACGCTAAATTCACCTAATGATTTATTTTAATGCTAACATTTTGCCTCGGCTAACGCTAAAAAACTCTCCTAATGATATTCGTTCTCAGGTACCAATTAATGTTGTTAGGTGAGGGTCGACTGTATTTGAAAAGAAATTACTAACAGACCTCCTCCAGGCTACAGTCCATAACAGTCAACTAGTGCCAGGTACAGTATCTGTTTACTACTAGGTAAATAGGATAAATGGGCATTTGAAAGTTTGCCCTTATGTCTTGCCTTGTTCAGGAATTGAACCCAGGACTTTTCCATTGTGTGCCAAGCACACAAGCACATAATTCTCCCAAATTTAGAAACAATGATTGCACAGTATTTAACAATCTCCATAATTTTGGTACATTTCTACATTAATTCATACTTTCCAGATGATATAGGATATATGCGTGATATAAACTCTGATCGATGAACAGATAAATTTTACATAGGAGGTAAATTGGAAGCACAATAGAAAGGTGTATACTTCAGCCTCAGTCTCTGTCTTCAAGAGATAAGAAATTATAGAGTAGGCAAGCTTAGCACAGTGGAACCTCAATTGTCAAACGGACTAATTGTCGAACAAATTGGTTTTCGAACCGATTTGTTTGATTTGGTTTTCATACGTGATCTTGGGTGTTGACTGTCAATGCTCGGATCATGTGATCACCTGACAGAGTCCACAGCATGGCTCTCACTCAGTATAACAACTAACATCTCTTGAGCTCTTACTGTGTATTTTGCGATCATTTCTTGTTATTTTGCAGTTTTGTTGCAATTTTTTTTATTGTGAGATAAACCATCATGGGTCCAAAGAAGGATAAAGAGATGAAAGCAAAAAGAAGAGTTGTAAAAAGCACTATTAAGTTGAAAAAGGAAGTTATTCCAAAGTATGAAGAAGATGGTCTCCATGTGGATGATATAGCAAAACTTTTTGGTAAATCAAAGTCTATCATTAGCATGATACTGGGTCAGTGAGAAAAAAATTAAAGCAGCTGACCTTGCAGAAGGCACAAAATTGATATCAAGGCAAAGGCCACAAATTATTGAT